TACATTTCTGCAATTCGGTGCCACCCCTCACGCAGATCCGCGGCGTCAGGGTCCAAAAACACAAGGGATTTGCCACCTTTCTGACATTCGACGCCACCCCTTACGCAGATCCGCGGGGTCAGGGTCCAAAAACACAAGGGATTTGGCACATTTCTGAAATTCGGTGCCACCCTTCACGCACATCCATCGCAAGGCGTGGTAACCCAAACTGCGAGAACTCCCTCGGCCCTTTAATTGCAAGGTGTGGTAACCAAGCCCGTACACCATAAACGTCTTACCAATCGCCAGGTGTGGTAACCCCTCTTGTGATCAGTTGGTTTTGCTGATTGCGAATCGGCTTCGCATGAAGTTTCGATACTGCTTCACAACAGCGCCAAGGCCTCATGACTTAGCTCTTCCATGGCCCATTCTCCGAGAGAGGGGGCCGGCGGCAGGGGGCGAAGCCCTTACGGATAGATTGGCTTCAGGCCCTCCCAGAGAAAAACAGACACACAGCAGAAGCATATCGATTCTTGGAATAGAGAAGCGCTTAAATAAGATTCGGATCTGGGAATCCAAAAATACCCACTTCCAACGACCGGCGTGTATGGGTGACGTGGTACAAATACCATTCATTCCTGCCTTCCTGTCCCTCCTTCGTCCGTGCTGGAGCGTTTTGAAGCACCCGCCCTCCAAACCTGCACTTGCATGAAGGAAACTTGTCCTGGAGGGAAACCAGGCCTGGAAAGTGAGCGTTCTCTTCGGCGTTTCGACATTGAGCGGAGGGGAGGGGCGGGGGGGGACTCTGGCTCCGGTCCTCTGCTCAACGCGACGGTTTGCCGCAGTGCGTCCTATGGGGGAGACTCCACTTGCTCCAAACAGGCGCCCAAAAACTGCTAAGATCTACTCCAGGAGGAGGGGAGATGGGGGGTGCGAGGGCCCGCGCCGATCGGCAAAACAATGAATTATCCTGGCGAAAGACCCAACCATATGCAATTATGAGTACCTCAATTGTGAATATTTTCTTCGGTGGCGATCCCTATGGGGCCACGAACCGTTCGAGGGGTATACCGACATGTTTGGCGGGGTGCACAACACGAACGGAAATGATAGGCCTGATCAGGGGGGACTGAGCGCGGGTAAGACTGAGCGCGAGCGCGTTTGATTGTGATTGAGTCTGCGCGCGAGTAAATGTATGTGCATGAATGCGAGCATGGATACGCCTAGTGTAAATGTATGTGACTGTGAATGCTGGGCGTGGCGGGGGCGTAACGGGCTACAAAGCGTGTGAGGGGCGTGCTGGGCGTGGCGGACTCATGTGGCCTCCCCCACTGGGGCCTCGGGTGGAGCTCCTTCTGGGGCCACGAAGCGACGTACTGGGTGTGGCGGACGCATGTGGCCACTCCCACTGGGACCTTGGGTGGAGCTCCCTATGGGGCCACGAAACGCTGTACTCGGTGTGGCGGACGCATGTGGCCACCCCCACTGGTCCCTATGGGGCCACGAAACGCTGTGCTGGGTGTGGCCGACGCAAGTGGCCACCGCCACTGGGACCTGGGGTGGAGCTCCCTATGGGGCCACGAAACGCTGTGCTGGGTGTGGCGGATGCATGTGGCCACCCCCACTGGGGCCTCGGGTGAAGCTCCCTAACGGGACCACGAAACTCTGTACTGGGTGTGGCGGACGCATGTGACCCCCCCCCCCTGGGGCTTTGGGTGGGGCTCCCTATGGGGCCACGAAGCGCTGTACTGGGTGTGGCGGACGCATGTGGCCACCCCCCCTGGGGCCTTGGGTGGGGCTCCCTATGGGGCCACGAAACGCTGTGCTGGGTGTGGCGGACGCATGTGGCCATCCCCACTGGGGCCTTAGGTGGAGCTCCCTATGGGACCACGAAGCGCTGTACTGGGTGACCCTCCCCGGGGACCCCAAACCGGCAAGTTGAGCCCTCCCCCTGGCCAAATGGGGGGAACGAGGGCTCCGAAACGTGCCAAGAGGGCCCCAAGAGAACACCGGGGCGCCGAAAGATCGTGCCAAAGATGTCCAGGATGGTCTCCAGACGGCCCAATATGTCCCCCAGTTGTCCCAAGACTCCTCCCAAAGAGGGCCCCCAAAAGGCAACATTCATAGATTTCCGATACGTATGTGAAGGATGTTGGCGGTCTCGCCTGTTTAGCTTCCCGAGGCTCCAGGACGGCCCAAGAGGCCCCGCAGATCGCCCCAATAGGCCTCCAAGAGCGCCGCAAAACAGCCCAAGGGGGTCCCAAAACGGCCCAAGAGGCCAGCAAGACAGACCAAGATGCCCCCAAGACGGCTCCAAGAGAGGGCCCAGACGGAGGACCCGATCGGACATTTCGAGCCCTCGGCTTCGAGAGGCCCACCAGCAAGCACCGAGAGGCCCCGAAGAGGCCCCCAAGATGCCCAAACAGGCCCACAAGAGGTCCCCAGGAAGCCCCAAGAGGACCGAAAGATGCTCCGAAGAGGCCCCTGAGAAACTCCCAAACGGCACCACGACTGCCCCCACCCGCAGGCCCCCCGAGAGCGCTCCGTCCCGAATCCCAAGTGCCCCAGATGGCTCTGACCCAGAACCCAGGCACGGCGGCGGGACGGGCCAAGGGCCCCTGGATATCCGCCGCCCCCCGTTGGCTTGCCACAGCGGTGCCCAGCGTGCCAGACTTCAGCTTTCTGGCGCGTTTCAAACTCCTCCTGGGGCTTCGGCCCAGCGCGCCGGCCACCCGGAAGAGACCGCAAAGCACCTCAGCATGTCCAACTGATTCTCCAAGACGGCTCAAAATGGCTTCTCAAATTGTCAAGTTGGGCCAAGATGGCTTCCAAGATGGCCCAAGATGGTCCAAGTTGTCTCCAAGTCCGCCGAAGAAGCCACCAAGACGGCCCAAGATGGCTACAAGATGCCTCCGAGTCCACCCAAGAAGCCTCCAAGATGCCCCAAGCCGGCCCAAGAGGCCCCCTAGACGCCCTCACGACGTCCTCCAGAAGGGCCCGAAAAAGCCAACACCAGGGCCCGAAGAGACCAGGAAATTCTCCAGAAGGGCCATCACGACGTCATCCTCAGGTGTTTTATGTTCGCATTTGCGTCTTTTCGGCCTTCCGACAGCCCAAGACGGCCCAAGAGGCCCCAAAGAGCGCCCCAAGATCGCCCCGAAGCCCTCCAAGATTACCTCACTACGACGGCCCAAGAGGCCCCGAAGACGGCCCCAAGAGGGCCCCAAGAAGGCCCAAGAAGCCTCCAAGACTTTCAAGATGGCCTCCAAGACTGCCCTGGAGCACGCCAAGAGGGACCCAGGTCGGCCTAGATAGGCCCCCAAGAGGGCTTCCGACGGCGTCAGACGGGCCAGAGATGCCCAAGAGATGCCCCCGAGAAGCCCCCAAAGGCCCCCCAAAGGCCTAAAGAGGCCCCCAAGACGCCCTCCCAGGGAGCTCCCAGGAGGCCCAAAGAGTGCCCCCCGATGCTTCCGAGATTCCCCTCCTTTTTCCTTCTCCTCCTGATCTTCCCAGCCATCCTCCCCCAAATGATCCCGGACAGGTAGCCTTAAGAATCTTTGAAGATACACTAGCCTGGCGAGGAGCCCATCCCTTTGTCAACGAGTGGCGGCTATAAACAGGACCGCGAATGCAGCCACTGGAGCTTTTTGTGGAGCCTCCTGTGGGACCACGAAACGTGCGAGGGGTCTGCGGAACATGGGGCGGAGCCGCATGCGAACGCAGCCACTTGGGCCTTCGGTGGAGCGCTCGATGGGACCACGAAACGTGTGAGGGATTTGCCGAAATGGGGCGGGGCCGCGTGCATACGCAGCCACTGGGGCCTTCAGGGGGGCTCATTGTGGGACCGGGAAACGGGTGCGGGTTCTGCCGAAAATGGGGCGGGTCCGCATGCGAACGCAGCCACCAGACTTCGGTGGAGCTCCGCCAAGAAATACGTGAGGGGTCTGCCGAAGTGGGGCCAGGCCGCATGCAAACGGAGCACCCAGGCCCTTCGGCTGAGCTACACATGGGGCCTCGAAACGTGTGAATGGTCTGCCAGGATGGGGCGGAGCCGCATGCGAACGCAGCCACTTGGGCCTTCGGTGGAGCGCTCGATGGGACCACGAAACGTGTGAGGGATTTGCCGAAATGGGGCGGGGCCGCGTGCATACGCAGCCACTGGGGCCTTCAGGGGGGCTCATTGTGGGACCGGGAAACGGGTGCGGGTTCTGCCGAAAATGGGGCGGGTCCGCATGCGAACGCAGCCACCAGACTTCGGTGGAGCTCCGCCAAGAAATACGTGAGGGGTCTGCCGAAGTGGGGCCGGGCCGCATGCAAACGGAGCACCCAGGCCCTTCGGCTGAGCTACACATGGGGCCTCGAAACGTGTGAATGGTCTGCCAGGATGGGGCGGAGACGCATGCGAACGCAGCCTCTGGGGCCGTCGGTGGAGCTCCCTGTAGGACCACGAAAACTGTAAGGGGCCTGCCAGAATGGGGCGGGGCCGCATGCGAACGCAGCCACTGGGTCCTCAAGTGGAGCGCCCCATGTGGCCACGAAACGTGTGATGGGTCTGCCCGGATATGGCGGGGCCGCATGCGAACGCAGCCACTGGGGCCTTCGGTGGCACTTCCTATGGGGCCACGAAGCGTGTGAGGAGTCTGTCGAAGATGGAGCGGGACCGTATGCGAACGCAGCCAATGGGGTCTTCGTGGATCTAGCCAGGGGGCCTCGAAACATGTGAGAAAGTGCCGAAACGCGGAGAGGGAAGAGGATGAAGAGGATGATGATGAAGATGAAGATGAAGATGATGATGATGGTGATGATGATGATGATGATGATGATGATGATGATGATGATGATGATGATGATGATGATGATGATGAAGCGGAGGGATGAGGGGGAGCAGTGGAGGGAGACGCGCGGCGCTGCGGATTCAAAACGATGACCCATCAGGGGAAAAAGCTACTTTCCCTCAGCACACAATGTGTTCCATTGTACCTCACAACGAATACGGCCTCGAGCTTCGGCGGCGGCTGCACCTGTGACACCCAAGACCATGTCGTTCGCCGCGACATCCCCGAAGCGCGAGAGGGGGGCCTGGAATATCGCCCAGGGGAAAAGGCCCTGATAGAGCCTGCGGGGCGCACCGACCGCTCGCCCCTGGCCGCGGGCTGCTCGCTGCCCTGAGTTGTCCCTTGCCCCTCTTCTTCCTCCTCCTCATCCCCCTCCTCCTCCTTCCCGGCCTCCACCTGCTCCCCGTACTCCTCCTCCTCCTCCGTCGTCCCTTTCTCCTCCCTCCAACTCCTGCTCCGAAGCTTTCCCCGTGAGGGCCGTCCCAGTGGGCAGTCATACCTGCCACTTGGAGGTGTCGCAGTGCCCTCGTCAAGTCAAACAAAACAAACTTGAATTTCCCCTCCTCCTTCTCCTTCTGAGCGTCGCCCTCATATTCGTCCATCTCGGCCTCCCCGCCCTCCCATGCGCCCTTCCCCAATCCATCCGTACAAGCGCCCTCCATGATTTAGTAATGTTTGTGTGCGTGTGTGTGTGTGTGTCTGTTGTTGTTGTGTTGTTTAAAGTTCAGTCCGGAACTGTTGTGTTTTGTTGTGTTGTGTTGTATGGTTTGTTGTTTTTCTGTGATGTGTTGCGTGTACTTGTTTGGTGTTGTTTCGTGCATGTGCCGCAACGGTCTTGACAGTCACTCAGGGGAGGGAGGACGAAGAAGAGAGGAGAGGAGGTCTGATACCAAAGCCTCGAGGGCCACCTCTGGGGCGAACCGAATGACGGATCATGTGGGCAGGGAGTGGCTAAGACTAGAACAGGGGGGTGAAGGATGAGAGCAGAAGGAAAGCGCGAGCGGCGCACCCAGCAGAAGCGGAGAGAAAGCAAGTTCTTCGGTTGATCATGCCAAGTTAAGGGCGAGGTTCATGACTAATTGGAGGCTCTGACTTTGCACACAGCCCTCCGTGCCCCCGTCCATCCTCCTTCTCCGCACCCTCCTTGCCTTGCTCCCTTCCTCCACCACTCCTGGCCAGCGACGCCGAGCCCCCCCCCCCCCTTCGCCGCAGCTTCCTCGGAGGGGGGGGGCGAGGGCAGAACAGCTGCGTCTCGAGACGGAGGGCTCGGCTCCCGACAGCTCTGAAGGGGCCCTGGGACACACAAATAAATACACACAAATAAAACTATTCCCCATATTTTCCCATATTGTCTCGGTTTTTGTCTTCCCCCCACTTCCCATATGTTCCCATATTTTCCTGGGAATCGACGATTCATTGTGTCTGTGTGTTTTTTCCCCTCCTGAAGCTCGCAAGCCGGCGAGATGCGGTACAGGCGCGGGCAGACCCTCAAGCGGAGCCCGTGCGTGCGGGGCGTGGCGGAGGCACGCCGCGGCCCTGGCCTTGAGCGTGCCTGCCCTGCGGGCCACGCGGAGCCGCGCAGTGCCGTGCGTGGAGGTGACGCTGGCCATCGCTCGGACGTCCAGTCCCTGTGTGCGTTTGTTCGGTTTCGTGCGTGTTTTTGTCGGCCAAGTGATCGAGGATGCTCCTCGATGGTCCTCGCAGAAGGAAAAAGGCACACGTCCGAGCGATGCCAAGGACGTCTCGCTGCCGCCGCGCGCAGTCTTTTGTGAACTCTCCGCCAGGGGGATGCAGCGCAGAGTCGGCGTCCAGCTCGGTAACGAAACAAAATCTCGACGCTGCCATCCCGAAATGTGGCTGCAACCGTGTGGCCCTATGACGGCCGGGCCGCCGTCGCCGTCACCGTCGTCCGCCGCCATCTCCTGTGACGGGCGACCGTCTTGTGAGGTCTGGGATGCCGAAATCATCAAAAAGCCTGCCAGAAGACGTTGTTGGACTCCCTGAGCTCCTCCTCCTCCCTTTCCTTCGCGCTCTCCCGGAGGCCTGGGCACGGACAAAACTGAAGTGGGATCCCGCAGCGCCTCGCACCAGCAGCGGACAACAGCCAAAACCAACCCGGAGGCGCGGCGGAGGCGCGGGGCCTCCTTATGCCGCCCTGGGCCCACAGCTTCTTCAAAACCTGATGGGCAGGCAACACGTGAACACAAGACAATTCATCTTCCTTCGCGAAGGACAGATGGAACCCCGTCCGGGCATAGCGCGACCTCCCTGAAGAGCAAGCAGCGAACGGCTATCGAGAGGACGTATCCTCCATGCCCCTCGTGGAACCTCGCGGGGCGATCTTCCTGCCTATTTCAATCATGCTCGACCCTCTCACGACTCAGAACAAGAAATTTCACAACGTTCCTCGCTCCCTGAGCAGACGAACAATCAAAAGATGTGTGATGATCACCCGGGCCGCTCCCTTGTGGAACTGGACAGCAGCGCAGTCCCATACAGCGGACAGGGTTCGAAGCACTCTCGTTCCGAGGGTTACGGACCATCTCTGTATAAAAAGGTCAGACTTCCTGGGTCGCGAATCCGCACAGTATGCCCGAATCGCTGTCAATATCGAAGGCGTTGCGAACTTTCGTTGGAGACGGCAGTCCTGTCCGGAGTAATGACCCATTTCTCAGTCCTCCCCTCTTTCATCCATTCTCCCCGTCCGCTTCACAATCCTTCCACTGCCTCCTCCTCCTCCTCCTCCTCCTCATCCGCATCCTCGTCTTTACCGTACTCTTCCTCCGACTCATCTTGCCCCTTCGTCTCAGGAACGGGGCGCTGCACACGAGCGCACACTGCATGGAGCGCCCAGCGGAGCGCCAGGCGAACGACAGGGCGGGCGAGGCTAAGCTTGCCCAGCTCCCAGCGACACCAAGAGTAGACGAGCGCGTTCCACTACTCGCAAAGTAACTACTCGCAAATGGCCTGGATACGCCAGAGGGGAATCTACGATACATTACATCAAAGCAGACATGTTACCTGACAGCGAAGATTGATAAGTTTCTAGTGGGCTCAAAAGAGAGCATCCTGATTCCCCAGGGGGGTCTGGGCAGATGCCGGACGGGTGCCGGGGAAAACCGGGGACTCCCCATTTTTATTGCCAGGAGCTAAATTTTGACTGCCTGGAGCCAACAAAACACCATTCCAAGGCCACATTATCAATGCCCGGAGCCAACTGTAGGCCACTTCGTGTTCTTCGTGTTCCCAGAACACCATTCCCAGGCCACATTTTGAATGCCCGGAGCCAACTGTAGGCCACTTCGTGTTCTTCGTGCTCCCAGAACACAATTCCCAGGCCACATTTTGATTGCCTGGAGCCAGCTGTAGGCCACTTCGTGTTCTTCGTGTTCCCGAAACACAATTCCCAGGCCACATTTTGAATGCCCGGGGCCAACTGTAGGCCACTTCGTGTTCTTCGTGTTCCCAGAACACCATTCCCAGGCCACATTTTGAATGCCCGGAGCCAGCTTTAGGCCACTTCGTGTTCTTCGCGTTCCCAGAACACCATTCGTGTACCACATTTTGACTGCCCGGGGCCAACTGTGGGCCACTTCGTGATCTTCGTGTTCTCAAAACACAAGTCCTGTGCCTTATTTTGAATGCCCGAGCTGAGGCAGGCTGAGGCCGAGGCAGACTGAGGCTGAGGCTGAGGCACGCCGAGACAGGCTGAGGCTGAGGATGAGGCAGGCTGAGGCTGAGGTCGAGGCAGGCTCAGGCCGAGGCTGAGGCTGAGACTGAGGCTGAGGCAGGCTGAGGCTGAGGCAGGCCGAGACTGAGGCTGAGGCAGGCTGAGGCTGAGTCTAAGGCTGATGCAGGCTGAGGCTGAGAGGCTGACGCTGAGGCTGAGGCAGGTTGAGGCTGAGGCTGAGGCCGAGGCAGGCTGAGGCTGAGGCTGAGGCAAGCCGAGGCAGGCTGAGGCTGAAGCTGAGGCAGTCTGAGGCTGAGGCTGAGGCTGTGGCTGAGGCTGAGGCTGTAGCCGAGGCAAGCTGCGGCTGAGGCAGGCTGAGGCTGAGGCTGATGCAGGCTGAGGCTGAGGCAGGCTGAGGCTGAGGCTGAGGCTGAGGCAGGCTGAGACTGAGGCTGAGGCCGAGGCAGGCTGAGGCTGATGCCGAGGCAGGCTGAGGCTGAGGCTGAGGCTGATGCTGAGGCTGATGCTGAGGCAGGCTGAGGCTGAGACAGGCTGAGGCTGAGGCTGAGGCAGGCTGAGGCTGAGGCCGAGGCAGGCTCAGGCCGAGACAGGCTGAGGCTGAGACTGAGGCTGAGGCTGAGGATGAGGCCGAGGCAGGCCGAAGCTGAGACAAGGTGAGGCTGAATGGGGGGGGGGGAAGGGGGGGGGGAGGAGGGGAGGCCGAGGCAGGCTGAGGACGAGGCAGGCTGAGGCTGAGGCTGAGGCAAGCCGAGACAGGCTGAGGCTGAGGCTGTGGCTGAGGCTGCGGCAGGCTGAGGCTGAGGCAGGCTGAGGCTGAGGCCGAGGCAGGCTGAGGCTGAGGCTGAGGCAAGCCGAGGCAGACTGAGGCTGAGGCTGAAACTGAGGCAGGCTGAGACATCCGTAGGAATTCATAGGAATCCGTAGGAATTCATAGGAATCCGTAGGCATACTTAGGAATCCGTAGGCATAGTTAAGCATCCTCAGGAATCCTTAGGAATACTTAGGATTCCTATGGATTCCTAAGGATGCCTAAGGATGCCTTAGGAATCCCTAGGAATCCTTAGGATTCCATTGGGACCTAAGGCCGTTGCCACTGCGACTGTCATTGCGAATGCGACTGCGACTGCGAGAACAGCAGAATTCTACAACTGGATTCTCACCTGAATCGTAAGGGGAATGCTTCCAGATATGCTTATACACATCGCTGTTAGGTTGTTTTGCCGGGATACTGTTTTTTTCAAACATTTGCGAGTAGGCACTTTGCGAGCAGTGGAAAGTGGTCGGTGAAAGAGGCGGGGTGTGCCTCCTTTGTCTTGTGCGTATCCCCAGATGGGTCACCTGCCGTAATGCCTTCTCCAAACGGCCCTGGCAGGCCTCTGACAAGCGCCCCAGCAGTGCAAACGCGCCAGGGGGCTCCAGTGGCTCATCGGCGAAAGCTCCTGCTGCGGAGGGGTGCGCGACGCTCGGGTGTTGCCGAATGGGGGGAAGACGACGAGAAAGGGGGGAGGAGGAGGAGGAGGAGGAGGAGGAGGAGGAGGAGGAGGAGGAGGAGGAGGAGTAGGAGGAGGAGGAGGATTAGGAGGAGGAGGAGGAGGAGGAGGAGGAGGAGGAGTAGGTAGGACGACGACGCAAAGGAGGAGGGGGGAGGATCGGGATGGAGGAGGAGGAGGAGGAGGAGGAGGAGGAGGAGGAGGAGGAGGGGCGGTAGATGGGGAGGGGGGAGACAGCGGCACTCCTCGGGCCCCGAGGGCCCCCTATCGGGCACCCGATTGGGCCCATTCAGGGGCCCTGGAGGGCCCTTTTTCTCTGCAGTCCTCGCTGCCCCCCTCCGTGTATCGCCCCCCCCCCCATGATGCGACGCCAGAGACGCCCTCCCCGGCGCACGGCACGGACCCGTGGCTTGCGGCACGGCGGTCCTGGCAGCCTGCTGGGCACTGCTCCTCGCGTCTCGCCATCGCTCGGACGTCTGTGCCGCCCGCATTATGCCGTCCCTGCGGCTGGCTTGAAGCCGCCCTGCACACCCCTAGGGGGCGACCAAGAGGGGAGCGTCCAAGAGGGAGGGGCGCAAATCATGGCCGGCGGCACGTGCGCGGCCCAAGGGGGGGGGGGCGGGGCAGGGACGTAATGAAACAAGAAGAGGCGGCGCAATGAGATCTGGTGCAATGTCATGTCGGCTACACGTAAGAGTGACCCTGGGTAAGAGTGACCTTTGGTGCGCGGCTTCTTGGGGGGCCGCGGGGGGACCAAACCTGGGCGCGCAAGCCGCTGCTCCTGCTTCGTGTTCAGCCATCTGGGGACCCATCTGTGCCCGCACCAAAGGTCACTCCGGCGAAAGGTCACTCTTACGTCTAGTCGATCATGGCCCACGCCATGATATCCATCCCCCCGGTCTCAGGGCGGCCGTGTCCTCCTGCAGGCGGATTCTGGGCGAAGAACAGAAAACAGCCCAACGACATCCCCCTCCTCCTCCTCCTCCTCTTCCTCCTCCTCCTCCTCCTCCTCCTTCTCCTCCTCCTCCTCCTCCTCCTCCTCCTCGAAGAGCCGTCCCCGGACTATCTTTTGCGCGCCAGGCTCGCGCGGCAGGCTCGCGCGAGGCTGCGCGAGGCCCCAACCACCGGCTCCACCATGAGTCAAGGAACGAGAAATCGTCACTTGCCAGGCATATCAAAATGAGTGCAACATATAAGTCAACACAAGTGCTCATATCTGGTCTAGGACTGAGTATGCCCAACTATTCGGGCACCCCGGGTCCAGTTCGCCACCAGCGTTTCGGCGTGTGGTTGGCCATCCTCTTCAGGACCTGCCACAACCAACCACACGGGGCAGGCCGACGCTGACACGAACGACTTTTTGGCCTTCAGAGAAGGGAGGAAACAAACTGAAATGCCAGACAAATGAAAACTCCTCCTCGGGCACCGCCGCCAGGGGAGAGTTTCGCGCCAGCGCTGGGCATCCTGCTGGCCCCCCCCCACGCCGATCTTTGGGGGAACGAGCCGTGACATGAACATCGGAGGTCCGCGCGGATTTCTCGGATCCGCGCTGGACCACCCTTACGGCGCCGCCTCTGGCGCGCTCCGCGCGCCAGGGAAGGGACTCCAGAGCGGATCCAAGAAATCCGCGCGGACCTCCGAGTTTTTAAGCTTATGTCATAAGTTCGTTTCCCTATATGAGCTCGACCACAAGAAGCCTCCCACAAGAAAGCCAGCCCTGAGACCCTAGGAAGTACACAGATTTCTGGTGTGGGAGCACCACCGTTTTCCCTAGAAGCATCGGAACCCAAGACACTCAGGGCGCCCTGGAGGCAAGGACGGTGTTTCTTGTCATGGGTTTCCACTGCAGCACTGCGAATGTGGTGCACCTGGAGGGATATGCGCGGACACTGGCGCCGAAAGCTCACGCTACCCCTGGCTTCGGGGGCGCTTGTGACCTGTGGGGGAATCTATTGGGCGATCGATGCGTCTGGGCCGGTGTTGCTCCGTTAAGGGGGGTCTGCTGTTGCGATTCCTGGGCGGTTTGTTGCTACCTCGATGTTGTTTCTCGCCCGCTGGATGTTGGGGTGATTCAGGGAAGATGGCGCCGATACGATTGTGCGATTGGGGATTGTGCTGTTATTATTTGTATCGCTGGGGCGAATTAAGGTGTGTTGTTTGCGGTACTGTGGGGTTGAATTCGCAATACTACAGATGATGATTTAGTGTTTGGGTGAGCATGTAGGTTATGTCGGTGTCATGTCGGTGTCATTGCTGGATTTCCAGGTGAAGTCGGAGTTGCTCCAAGTGTAAGCTGAAACCATTGGGGAGACTCGCATACCGCGCGTCAGCCACATCGAGCACATTCAAAGCATCGCGGCTTCGCGAAAGGCAACCCACAATTCAACGCGACGAACACAAGAGAAACGCACACAAACACACACACACACACTCTTCCCACTTGGGGGGCTCCCGTTGCAGCGTGATGCGCATAGGAACCACCACCAAGCAGCGCGTCACCGCAAACCGCACACGTGGCATTGGCGCATGACATGCACGGTCAACCCGGCGGGCGCTGGGGACCCTCCGAATGGACCCGGCATGTTCAAGTGCGAGTTAGGCGCCCTTTGACGACTCCACAGTTTTGTGTCCGCCCGGCGACCCCCATCCTTCCCGAAGGTAGCCTGATATCTCGGAAGACCTGGCGAAGCTGCCAAGAAGCCCACACATCAGGAACCTGCAGCAGTCCCAACTACGCTCCTAGGAACCCATCGGGGGGGTACCGCCAAGAACATGGCCTGTAATACATTGTGCCCTTCGGTCAATCCCAGACTTCTTTGCATGTGCATGTCACGTGATGTCGTGACCAAAACGGCAAGCACATGCGGCACACAAAGACGGCAGACCAAGACGGCAATCTGGCACAGAAGACTGGTACGACCACCAGACCAGCATGGTGGATCAGCTCTGGAGCCCAGCACGGCAGAACAGATCAGCTCGGTGGCACCGATTGCGTGATATTCTCCATTGACTGAATGAGGGCCCTCAGTAGACAAATGCACATGCGTCGTTGCTCACAACTGAAGCACGGCGGCGAAATGAACCGATGGACACGAGTATCAATTTGCAGAAGCATCGTACCACCCAACGTCTCAAACACTTTGACCCACTGCCTGGCTACTGCAACCAAGCTCATGTCGCCTGCGAATGCATCTCAGAAGGCGATTGCGCGAGCTGACCCTGTATCGAGAAACACATGACAATCGATACAGCCAGCAGCCATGTGCCGTCTACGTAGCGAGGGCAGCAATTGAGGAGCGCCATGCAGTGGGATGAGCTTCGCACGCATACGAAACATAATGATGTGGGGGTGACAAAGGGGGTCCCGTGGATGTCATGTCAGCGACTTCAGCAGAATAGGAGGGACAATCACCAGAGAGGTCCACATCCTGACAAACCAATCCATAAGCCCAGCAACAAGCCACCTCCCTTTATGCTCCATACTTTCTTCCAGCACACCGTTCCTCACACATGAACTTAGGAAGGCAGTTGAGGTGCTGCGGCAAGGAGGACCTCCTGCAATGTCCCTCCATTCTTGTATTGGTAGTTCATGGCAGTGCGCAACCACATGAAGGCCAACACCTGCAAAGCAGAGGTTAATGACGACACACATATTCTGGTACACGCACATCTGCCTGTATCTATATGTGCATTCATACTGGAACCATCGCGCGCTTCGCGCGCGCCCAAATTCGAGCGCAGACCTGGGGGTCGCTGGAAGAAATTGGACAGCGCTGTCAAACACAGACGAGTGACATAGTCGTGCTAATCCTCACCCACCTCCTGTTCAGATCTCTTCTTCATACTCCTTATCATCATGGTCTTCGTTACCACTTCACTCGCCCTGGCCGTACTCACCATCACCATCATCAACAACAACAACACCATGGATAACATGGATGGTCCGGTGCTGCTAGCCATGACGCCACGCCAGGCTCGCGTGTCATCATGATCGCCAGCATCATCCAAATCCCCGTCCGTCTCATCAATATCATCATCATCATCATCATCATCATCATCATCATCATCATCATCATCATCATCATCATCATCATCATCATCATCTTCATCAGCATCATCAGCATCATCAGCATCATCAGCATCAGCATCATCAGCATCATCATCATCATCATCATCATCATCATCATCATCATCGGTCCACGAGCCTTCCTGACAACAGAGACGTTCGATTAGCGCGTCGCGACGGCGACCCACGCGACACGCCACACCATGCAAGCGGGTAGAGTGTCACTCCATGTCGCTGGGCTGGATGGCTGCAAAATAATCGGGATGCGATGAGGAGCACTATTCGGATAATGCGCCCCAGAATTTCGTCACAAATATGTGGCCTCCTGGCGGTCTCAGGGGAGACTGGCATGAGCATGTAGGGGGCATATTGGCGGTCTTGTAGGGGTCTCTTTGAGCCTCTGGGGGGGGGGGGGGGGCATCGCGGGGGATCTTGGAGCCTCTTGGAGCATCTTGGGGGCCTCTTCCGATCGTGTCCAAGGATCCGTGGGCTTTCTCGCGGGGCCCCTGGAGCCTACCGGGCCAGATACTTCATGGTGGACCATCCCCTGCGGCAGCAGCAGGAGGAGAAGAAGCAGCAGGGGAGGAGGAGGAGAAGGAGGAGGAGGAGGAGGAGGAGGGCGAGGAGGGGGCGGAAGAGGAGGAAAGATAAGAGAGTCCATCTTCGCGTGGCTTTTGGCGGTCTCTGGGGAGCCCCATGGACCGCTAACCCATCTCTCTTCCTGTTGGAGGTGGGATGAGCGAAGTAAGAATGTAAACGTTCAGTATTCAATTCTTCGCCTGCTAGTTAACACACCCATCAAAGGGAGTTCGGCACTGTGAGGCTAAGGTGTGACCTGAACATTCTTGCTTTGCCAGATGTTTTCGGCCCACGAGTCTTCCCCCTCCTCCACGAAGTTCCAGAGGCGAGACAATATCGCAAGAGTTTTGATTTGTCCATCCTTTGTCTCGACATCCTATTCCTCCTCCGCGGGACTTGGGGACAAAGCAAGAAAGCAGCCTTACATTATGAATGTCGGCTCTGCGACCTGTTACCCTTATCTCCGTTCCATGTGGTTCGGGTTGTGGGGGTCGCGGCGCGAATGCAATCTTGCATTCTTGATGACTCCGAGATTCGATCAACTGCAATATCCATTCACCACCGAATGTGAGAGTCGACATAAAAAGGAAAACAATAATTCAGAATTTGCCCATCCTTCGACCCGCTACCCAGTCCTTTGACCCACTGCCCTACCCTCCTTTTCCACGGGGTGTGGGAGACGAGGCATGACTGAACACTTGCAATATTGATGTGTCCGTCGTTCGGGCCACTTCCCCGTCTCACCTGAACAGTGTCGGAGGGGCGCGGTAAGAATATGCACTTACTTTTTTCGTGTGGCCGAATTGCGACCAGCGACCAGATCCTTCCCCCGGGGTGTGTAGGGGGTTCGCGCACGAAAGGTAGAGCGACGTACAGTCCGCACTACCAAATCCTTAACGCCTCAGTGTGTTTGGGCGGCGATCCGATACTGGGATGCTCCCAAGCTGCGTTTCGGTAGAGGGTGTCGATGGAAGGGGCATCCCCTCTGCACCTCCCAGGGGAGATGGGGAGCCCGCCAGCACCCGAATTCCACGCGGGTTCGACAGCAGTTTTTGGGGGCTGCAGAGCCACGGGGTCGCAGAGCCGCGGGGTTGCAGAGCCATGGTCACGAACGTGTGGCAGTCCCATAGGAGGCCGAGTTCAGCCCTCTCAGGTCACGCACGCGTGGCAGGGCCACGGGGCTCGCACCATCTCGGCCTTCCCGAGAAGAGTTCGTGTAGCGTCCCACGGGGTTCTCACCATGTCAGCCCTCCGAGGTCAGGAACGTATGGCAGGACCGAAGGAAAACCACGCAGCCTTCCCAGGCCAAGCACATGCATGCGCATGTGGCAGGACCATGGGATGCTCGCCGGTTCGGCCTTCCATAGGCCACGAAAGTGTAGCAGGGCCAATTGATTCTCTACACTTCAGCCTACCCACGTCACCCCGAGAAATCTAGAGCACCTTCAGGAGCCCGGAGGGATCCAGAGGAATGCTCAAGAGTCCTGCGGAATCCCGACGAATCCAGAGGGAACCTGAAGTGTGGCAAGGACACAGCATGTTCACCACGTGTGGCAGGGGCATCGGATTCTCAATAGTTCTGCCATCCCAAGTCACAAACGAGTGGCAGGGTCATTAGGCTCTCACATTTTCAATCTTCCGAGGTCTCGGACGTGTGGCAGGGCAATGGGGTTCTCGACAGGTCAGGCCCACCAGGATACGAACGTGTTGCACGGCTACAGGGGCCTCACCAGGTCAGCCTTCCAAAGTCAGCCTCAAGAATCCAAAAAATCCCTCAACAACATTGAAGACTCCTGAAAAGGTCCAAACGAGTCTTGTGGAATCATGACGACGCATGAGGAATCCGGAGGAACCATCAGAACGCCCTCTCAGGTGACGATCATGTGGTAGAGCCAGAGGAGCCTCACCACGTCAGCCTTGCCCGGCAACGAACGTGTGGCAGGGCCAATGGATGCTCACCATTCCGCCCTCTCAAGTCCACGAACGTGTGGCAGGGCCGTAGGAAGTTCACCATTTCAGCCCTCCCATGTCTTCCTGAGGAATCCAGCGAAACCCTCAAGAACCCTGAGAGATCCTGAGGACCCCCCCAGAATCCCGAGGGATCCCCACCCAGATCACGCACGTATGGCAGGGCCACACACTTCTCACCATGTCAACCTTTCCAGGTCACTCACGCGGGGTGGGGCCAATGGACTCTAACCATTTGAACCGTCCCAGGCGAACAACGTGTAGCAGCAGGGCCATGGGAGTCGCACAAGCTCAGCCCTCCCACGGCACGAGCATGCGGCAGGGCCCTATTTCCCCATAACTTTTCTTGGGATCGGCGATTAACTGTGTCAGTGTCGTCTTCCCTCCTGAATGGTACCAGAAGGCAAGATGAAGTGAGGTGGCAGGACGAGTAGAGTGGATGAAAAGGGAACACGCGGAAGCCAAATACAGAGGAGGGAATATGGAAGATGGAAGGTGGATAACGGAGGCGGACGGAAGACAATTGAGGAAGAAGAGGAGGAGGAGAAGGAAGAGGATGACGAGGAGGAGGAGGTTAGAGGGAAGACATGGGGATGCACCGTGAATAGGAAAAGGATGGAGAGCGTCAGGAGGATGCGGTCTCTTGGAAGCATCTGATCGGATGAGGCGAGCAAGAATTTCGTCGCGAATGTGTGATTTCCTGGCGATCGCTGGGGAGCCTCGCAAGGGCATGTGGGGGACGCCTTGAGGGTCTCTTTGAGCCTCGGGGCCTCGTGGGGGGATCTTGGGGCCTCTTGAAGGGGTCTCTCAGAAGCGTCTCCAGGAATCCATGGGCTTTCTCGCGGAGCCCCTGGAGCCTGTCGGGCCAGATAAGCAATGGTGGACCATCCCCTGCGGCAGCCGGAGAAGCAGGAAGAGACGCAGCAGGGGAGGAGGGGGAGGAGGAGGCGGACAAAGAGGACGGATGGGAGAGTCAATCTTTGAGGAGCTTCTCGGCGGTGTCTGGGGAGCCTCTGAAGGGCATGAGTCAGGCGGCGTGGGAGTCTCGGATGGCCCCGCGGGAGGTCTTCTTGGGGGCCTCTTGTAAAGAAGAGAAGGATGGGGGAGAAAATATTCCAGGAAGCCTCTCCGGAAACATCTGGATGACGCCAACGGCGAGCAGCAGTGTAATGATGAAGGGCACTGTGCGGATGATGCGCTCCAGAATTTCGTCACGAATGCGCGGTTTCCTGGCAGTCTCTGTGAAGACTCGCGAGGGCATGGAGGGGGGCGCCTTGGGGGTCTCTTTGAGCCCCCGAGGGTGCCTCTTGGGGATCTCTTGGGGCTTCTTGGAGCCATTGAGCCATTTTGGGGGCCTCTTCGGAGCGTCCCCGGGACTCCAGGAGCCTTCCAGGGGCTTCTTTTGGGGCTCCCCGAGGGCTCACGGAAGGCATCTCCAGGGCGTCCTGGCCCTGTCCAGAGCCTCTTTTGGAGCCTCTTCGGGGGCGTGTTGGGACCCCCTGGGGCCCCCTGCGGACTATCCGGAGGCCTTACTTAGGAAGGCAGACAGTCCACCCCCACAACAACCACCCCGACACGTGGAGCCGTTTACCAAACGCCCCCGCTGAAGGAATCTAACAGGGCAGGGCTGTCTAGGAAACGCCCAAGGCCTTTTCAAACGCCAATTGTCCGGTCCGGGTGGTTTTTCCTTCCCTGATTCCTCTCAGAAGGGGACAAGCGGAATCCCTCAAGCTGCTGGGCTTTCCTTTATCGATCTTGATAATTTTAGCCTCCTGGCAGCCTCTTGGAACCCTCTTGCGAGCCGCGTGGGGGCCTCTTCGGGCAATCCCAAGCTGTCTTGAACAGCCTGGACGCAACATGGTGCCTCGTGGCGGCCCCGATGGCCTGCTGGAGACCCTCTTGACCTGTCTTTGCGCTCGCCGGGAGCGCTCGAGGAGCCCCGCCCCACAGGCATCGTCAGAACAACAATCACCACTGTTCCCCATTGCTGCCCCCCCCAACTTCCTCATCACCCGCAGGATGGTCGTATAGGTAGATATACACTGGTAGAGACGCATCGCTTGGCGCATACCCGCCTGGTAATTAATCCAAGGGTGCGCACACAAAGCGTAGCGAAATTCCTCGCTGCCCCTGGAGTGAACAGAGTGAACAACAGACATGACATTGATATTTTCCGACGGAGACGCATCAGCCTGGCGCGCACTTATCTGGTCGATTGCCCAAGGATGTGCGCGCAAGGTGGAGAGGCCAGCTCTTGGAAGTGAAGAAATGCATCAAATTCACTTGGCTGGCCGCAGGCGGATCACCTGCAAGCCAGCATTGCAGCCTGACGCGCCTTGGCGCGAGCGGCACACATACTGAGGCGCGAGCGACACACATACTAGCCTGATGATACAGGCTCCGCGTCGTGCTAAACACGTTGCGCCGACTCGTGCTCATCGATCTCCGCGTCCTGCTCCGACTAGTTGACCTCAACCTCCGCGTTGTGAATGCCGCGCTGGGGTGTTGGGCCCCTGAAGACACTCGAGCCCCACCAGGCAGCCCAGCGCGACGCCGCAGACCAAGAACAAGATCAACAAGAAGAAGATCAAGACACCAGCGAAGACTGCAATTAATCCCCATGGCTCGGTGGTGGCTGTGGTGTTTGACGTGTCCGAACTCGTGCTCGTATCGGTGGTCGTCGTGGCCGTCTTGATGGTGATGGTAGTAGTGCTTGACGTCGCGGAACGCGTGCCCGTATCGGCGGTCGTCGTGGCCGTCTTGGTGGTCGTCGCGGTGGTCGTCTCAGTTGTTGCCTCGGTGAAGTCGAGCACGTACGCGGAGCCGGAACTGTCGCCCTGGTCGTCGTCACCATAGGCCCCCACCACCACGCGGGCCCCGTCGGAGCTCACGGCCACCGAGGAACCGAAAAAGTCGTAGGCGGCCCCATCACTCGCCACAAGCTTCAGCAGCCTCTCGCCGGTGGCCCCGTCGAGCACGTACACGGAGCCGGAACCGGAGCCCTGGTCGTCGTCACCTCTGGCCCCCACCACCACGCGGGCCCCGTCGGAGCTCACGGCCACCGAGGAACCGAACAAGTCGTCTGCAGTCCCATCACTCGCCACAAGCTTCAGCAGCCTCTCGCCGGTGGCCCCGTCGAGCACGTACACGGAGCCTGAATTGTAGCCCTGGTCGCCGTCACCACAGGCCCCCACCACCACGCGGGCCCCGTCGGAGCTCACGGCCACCGAGGAGCCGAAATAGTCGAAATTGGCCCCATCACTCGCCACAAGCTTCAGCAGCGTCTCGCCGGTGGCCCCGTCGAGCACGTACACGGAGCCGGAACCGGAGCCCTGGTCGTCGTCACCTCTGGCCCCCACCACCACGCGGGCCCCGTCGGAGCTCACGGCCACCGAGGAACCGAAAAAGTCGAAGTAGGCCCCATCACTCGCCACAAGCTTCAGCAGAGTCTCGCCGGTGGCCCCGTCGAGCACGTACACGGAGCCGGAACCGGAGCCCTCACCTACGGCCCCCACCACCACGCGGGCCCCGTCGGAGCTCACGGCCACCGAGGAACCGAACCAGTCGTCTGCAGCCCCATCACTCGCCACAAGCTTCAGCAGCCTCTCGCCGGTGGCCCCGTCGAGCACGTACACGGAGCCGGACTTGTCGCCCTGGTCGTCGTCATATTTGTTCCCCACTACCACGCGGGCCCCGTCGGAGCTCACGGCCACCGACTCACCGAAACTGTCGTCTGCAGCCCCATCACTCGCCACAAACTTCAGCAGCCTCTCGCCGGTGGCCCCGTCGAGCACGTACACGGAGCCATGAACAATGACCTCCCAGTCTTCGTAGTAGTAGTAAACGGCCCCCACCACCACGCGGGCCCCGTCGGAGCTCACGGCCACCGACATTCCGAACCGGTCGTTGTCGACCCCATCACCCGCCATGAGCTTGAGCAACTGCGCGCCGCTGGTAGACAGGCGCCTCCCGAACTCGGCCTGCGGCTCGAGAGGCGACCGCTCGCCGAGCCCTCCACCCTCGGGCGGGCCAGCGTCCCGCTCGCCGGCGACCCGGCGCTCGGGGCGCCGCGCGCTGCCAGCAGCAAGAGCAGCGCGCCGACGCTGTGAGACGTGCGCAGGCGCATCATGCCGTCTGCAGATGTGCAGAGCTGAGCGGAACGAGAGACGCCAGAGGGGAGCCCTGGGAGGCCGGCGACGGCCCCTCAAAACCTTGAGCCGAAATTGCGACCAGCCCCGATGGCTTGCCCAAGACATTCCTTGTTCGGATTCACCGTCATCATATGGTTACAGCATCATCATTGCTCTTCTCTTTTACACTGGAATTCCTTGGTGATGCTTTCCGAAGGATTCCTTGTGTGAGGCTTTTAAATATAATCCCTTTGTGGTGCTTTCCAAAGGATTCTTTTTTTGCGAGGCTTTCCAATATAGAATATTTGCGTGGTGCTTTCCAAAGGATACCTGCTGTGAGGCTTTCCAATAGAATCCCTTGGTTGCGCTTTCCAAAGGATCCTTTTTGTGAGGTTGTCCAATAGGATCCTTTTGTAGTGCTTTCGAAAGGATTCCCTTTATGAGGCTTTCCAGTAGAATCACTTTGTGATGCAGAGGAGGCGGAGGAGGAGGCGGAGGAGGAGGGGGAGGAGGAGAAGAGAGATCTATAGCTATAGATACACACATATCTATATATATATATATATATATATACTAGAACCATCGCGCGCGCTTCGCGCGCGCTCAGGTTCTAGCCCAGGCCTGGGGGGCGCTGGACGATCTTGGACAACGATATCAAGCACAAGCGCGCGACGGCATCTGAGGAGCTTCTGGGGTGTTCCGCATGCTTCGTCAACTGGCTGTTGGAGGCACCTCTTGGGTGCTTCTTGGGGGGGCGTCTGAGGGTCCCTTGGGGGCATCGGTTCTGCAATCTGAAGCCGTCATTGGCCGTCTTGGCTGCGTGGAAGCCCGACTTGAGGCCACCTGCGGCCAGATTGAGGCAATCCGGAAGCCTCCCGGGGGCCTCCTGGAAGCAGTTTTGACGCATCGAGGGCACTCTTGGGCTATCTTAAAGCCTCTTGGACGTCTCCTAGGGGCCTCTTAGGCCCTCGGGAAGCTATTGGGGTCCTCGTCGGACCACTTGGGGGCCTCTTGCGGCCTCCTGTGGGCCTTTTGGGGGGACCGATCTGCTGTTGGGTCGCGTTCCCCTTCTTGGGCCTCTCTTGGGGCTCTTGGGGCCCTCTCGGGCCGTCTTGGGCGCCTCAAGCACCGTCTTGGGGCCCTCGCGGGCCGTCTTGGGGCCCTCTTGGAGTCCTCTTCCTCTATATGGGAGCGGTATTGGAAGCCTCTTTGGCCGTCTTGGAGCATCGGGATGCCAAAAGGCCGAAAACATTAAAACCCGTCAAAGCCCAATCGTAAAACAATGAGTTGTGCCTCTTGGGGCCACCTTGGGAGATCTCTTGGAACCTCGTCGGCCCTCTTGGGAGCTTCTTGGGGGCCTCTTGGATCCGATTGGGGGCCTCTTGGGACTTCCCGAGAACCTCTCGGGGTAGAAAGCTCGGATTCTCGGTTCGTGTTTCCCTTCTTGGGCCTCTCTTGGGGCCGTCTTGGGGCCCTCTCGGGCCGTCTTGGGCGCCTCAGGCACCGCCTTGGGGCCCTCGTGGGCCGCGCAGGGCCCTCTTGGAAGCCTCTTCGGCTATCTTGGAGCTGTCTGGGAGGCCTCTTCCTCCTCCTCGTCCCCCTCCTCCTCCTCCTCCTCCTCCTCCTCCTCCTCCTCCTCCTCCTCCTCCTCCTCCTCCTCCCACTCCAACTCTCTCTCCTCCTGATCTTCCTCCTCCTCCTCCTCCTGCAGCGTGTTCCGGAAGGCTCCCGCCGGAACATGCTGTGCACAAGTGCTGTCACTGCTCCCGCCACCGTGCCCTGGGTGGTGGGTCAGAGGCCTCATGGGTGTTGGTGTGGATCTCGTGGTTGGCCTGTCGGGGACGTCGTGAAGGCAGTTTCGCAGCTTCTCGGTAGCCGTTTTGGGACCGTTGTGGGGCCTCCTCGGGGCTGTTTTGTAGCCTCTTTAGGCCTCGTTTGGGCCTCCTGGGTGCCTCTTGGGGGCCTCCTGGGGCCTCTTGGGGGCTCCTTGGGGCCTCCTGGGGCACTCTTCAAGCGGGAGGGTCGAATTTTGGAGTCGTGGTCCCCCTCTTGGGCGCATCTTGGGGCCGTCTTGGGGCTCTGTTGGGCTGTCTTGGGCGACTCTGGGGCCGTCTTGGGGCCCTCTTGGGCCGTCTTGGGGCGCCCTTGGGGGCCTATTGAGCCGTCTTGGAACGTCGGACAGCCGAAAAGGCTGGCAGGCCAAAGTCGTTCGAAAACCTTCGTACAATTGACGATTTCGGCCTCTGGAAGCGCTCTGCAGAGGCGTCTTGACGCGGCGTGGAGTGCCTTGGGGGGCCTCTCGGGCCGTCTTGGGCCTATCTTGGGCATCCTGGAGCGGTCTTTCGGCGACTCGGGGCCCGCTTGGGCCATCTTGGGAGCCTCTGGAGGCCCTCCTGGACTATTTCGGACCTCCCCGGCCGCCCCGTCCTCCCATGGGGGGTCGGAGGCGGCGGCCTCAGAGGCCCAGGACGCGGAAACCCTGTAAAACCACACGGAAAATGAGCCCCGGTACCCCCATGGCGGCTCTTCGGCGCTCTTGGACCGTTGGAAGCTCGAAAACGCGAGAAGCCAAAAACATTGAAAAGACCATTGAACATATACGACTTTGGCCTCTTCGGGCCGTACCGTGATACCTATCAGACTTCTTGGGGTCTCTTGGAGGCCACCTGGAAGCCTCGAGAGCCGTCGGAAGGCTGACTTGGGCTGCTCGGGAGCGTCTTGGGCCATCCTTTCGCATTCTGGGGGTTCCTGGGGGGCGTCTTGGGCCCTCCTGGAGCGCTGTGGAGGCTGCCGGAAAGGCTGGGGCAGCGGTGCCGGGAGCGTCCCCGAGATGTGGCCATATCTTTTCAGCGCGTTCCGGGAGCATCTTCCCGGAACGCGCTCGTGGCAGGGCGCCCACGTCCGAGGACGTTGGCATGGGAAACCGCAGCGCGTGATCATTCCAGCGCGTTCCGGCGAAGACCGTCCGGAACGCGCTTGGGCAAGCGCTGGGTTTGGGATGCTCGGGGCAAGAGGCGGAAGCCATCCTCATAAGACATGCAGTCTTCCTGGAGCCGTCTTGCAGAAAACACAGAAAAACTGAGACCCTGCAGTCGTTCCTGGAGCCGTCTTGGGTCTTGGAGCCCTCTTGGGCTGCCCTGGAGCCTGTTGGAGCCCTCTGCGGAATGGTCTTGGAGCCCGCGCCGAGGATCTGGAAAATGTCCGGGAGCATCGCGGCGGCCTTCGAGGCCCGGGACGCCGGAACCGCGTAAAAACACAGTGAAAATGAGCCCCGGTACTGGAGGGTCGGGCAGCTGTTTTCGGGCCCCTGGGCTAGAACCATCGCGCGCGCTTCGCGCGCGCTCAGGTTCTAGCCCAGGCCAGGGGGGCGCTGGACGATCTTGGACAACGATATCAAACACAGGCGCGCGACAGCATCTGAGGAGCTTCTGGGGTGTTCCGCATGCTTCGTCAACCGGCTGATGGAGGCACCTCTTGGGTGCTTTTTGGGGGGGCGTCTGAGGGTCCCTTGGGGGCATCGGTTCTGCAATCTGAAGCTTTCATTGGCCGTCTTGGCTGCGTGGAAGCCCGACTTGAGGCCACCTGCGGCCAGATTGAAGCAATCCGGAAGCCTCCCGGGGGCCTCCTGGAAGCAGTTTTGACGCATCGAGGGCACTTTTGGGCTATTTTAAAACCTCTTGGACGTCTCATAAGGGCCTTTTAGGCTCTCGGGAAGGTTTTGGGGTCCTCGTCGGACCACTTGGGGGCCTCTTGCGGCCTCCTGTGGGCCTTTTGGGGGGACCGCTCTGCTGCTGGGTCGCGTTCCCCTTTTTGGGCCTCTCTTGGGGCTCTTGGGGCCCTCTCGGGCCGTCTTGGGCGCCTCAAGCACCGTTTTGGGGCCCTCGCGGGCCGTCTTGGGGATTTCTTGGAGGCCTCTTCCTCTATATGGGAGCGGTATTGGAAGCCTCTTGGGCCGTCTTGGACCATCGGGATGCCAAAAGGCCGAACAAAATTAAAACCCGTCAAAACCCAATCGTAGAACTATGAGTTGTGCCTCATGGGGCCACCTTGGGAGATCTCTTGGAACCTCGTCGGCCCTCTTGGGAGCTTCTTGGGGGCCTCTTGGATCCGATTGGGGGCCTCTTGGGACTTCCCGAAAACCTCTCGGGGTAGAAAGCTCGGATTCTCGGTTCGTGTTTCCCTTCTTGGGCCTCTCTTGGGGCCGTCTTGGGGCCCTCTCGGGACGTCTTGGGCGCCTCAGGCACCGCCTTGGGGCCCTCGTGGGCCGCCCAGGGCCCTCTTGGAAGCCTCTTCGGCTATCTTGGAGCTGTCTGGGAGGCCTCTTCCTCCTCCTCGTCCCCATCCTCCTCCTCCCACTCCAACTCTCTCTCCTCCTGATCCTCCTCCTCCTCCTCCTCCTCCTCCTCCTCCTCCTCCTCCTGCAGCGTGTTCCGGAAGGCTCCCGCCGGAACATGCTGTGCACAAGTGCTGTCACTGCTCCCGCCACCGTGCCCTGGGTGGTGGGTCAGAGGCCTCATGGGTGTTGGTTTGGATCTCGTGGTTGGCCTGTCGGGGACGTCGTGAAGGCAATTTCGCAGCTTCTCGGTAGCCGTTTTGGGACCGTTGTGGGGCCTCCTCGGGGCTGTCCTGTGGCCTCTTTAGGCCTCGTTCGGGCCTCCCGGGTGCCTCTTGGGGGCCTCCTGGGGCCTCTTGGGGGTTCCTTGGGGGCTCCTTGGGCACTCTTCAAGCGGGAGGGTCAAATTTTGGAGTCGTGGTCCCCCTCTTGGGCGCATCTTGGGGCCGTCTTGGGGCTCTGCTGGGCTGTCTTGGGCGACTCTGGGGCCGTCTTGGAGCCCTCTTGGGCCGTCTTGGGGCACTCTTGGGAGCTTATTGAGCCGTCTTGGAACGTCGGACAGCCGAAAAGGCTGGAAGGCCAAAATGGCTCGAAAACCTTCGTATAATTGACGATTTCGGCCTCTGGAAGCGCTCTGCAGAGGCGTCTTGACGCGGCGCGGAGTGCCTTGGGGGGCCTCTCGGGCCGTCTTGGGCCTATCTCGGGCGTCCTGGAGCGGTCTTTCGGCGACTCGGGGCCCGCTCGGGCCGTCTTAGGGGGCCTCTGGAGGCCCTCCTGGATTATTTTGGACCTCCCTGGCCGCCCCGTCCCCCCATGGGAGGTCGGAGGCGGCGGCCTCCGAGGCCCAGGACGCGGGAACACTGAAAAAATACAAGGAAAATGAGCCCCGGTTCCCCCATGGAGGGCCGGGGCACCTGTCCTGGGGCCCCCGGCCTCCTCCGCCTCCTCCTCCTCCTGCTCCCCTCCGGGAACGCGGTGCTTTGGATGGCGCCCTTGCCGACCGCGTTCCGGCATGACTCCTCTGGGGCGCGATCGGCATCGGGGCGAGGGGGGCGCGAGGAGGACGACGAGGAAGAGGAGCACGACGCAGGCGAAGAGGAAGAGGAGGGGGAAGAGGAGGAGGGCAGCATCCAGCAGAGGCCCAGGGCTGTTCTGCAGATGGTTCCGTCGGCTGCGCCCTGGAGGGCTCCAGGCGCGGAAACCCTTTGAAAACATAAAAAAAATAATGCAAAATCGCCGCTCAAGTGAGGGCTTCAGCTCCGTCGGGCACCCCTGCTGGAGCCGTTTTGGGACCCTCTCGGGGCCCTGTGAGGTTGTCCTGGGGCCAGGCGGAACCTGCGATTGGAACTCATTCCGCGTAGGCTGCGCCCTCGAGGGCTCCGGGCGCGGAAACCTTGTAAAAACAATGAAAATGATGCAACATCGCTGCTCAAGCGAGGGCTTCAGCTCCGTCGGGCACCCCTGTTGGAGCCGTTTTGGGATCCTCTTGGAGCGCTCTGAGATTGTCCTTGGGCCTATTGGGACCATCTGCAGAACAGCCTTGGGCCTCTTTCAGCAGCCCCTGCGGCCTCTGGAGCCCGGGACGCGGAAACCTTGTAAAAAAACGCAAGGAAAATGAGCCCCGGTACCATCATCATCATCATCATCATCATCATCGTCATCATCATCATCATCAGCATCAGCAGCATCATCATCATCATCATCATCAGCATTATCCTCCTCCTCCTCCTCCTCCTCCTCCTCCTCCTCCCCCTCTCCCTCCTCCCCCCCCCCCTCCCCCACCTCCTCCTCCTCCTGCCCCCCCCCGGGAACGCGGTGCTTTGGATGGCGCCCTTGCCGACCGCGCCCCGGGAAGACTCCTCCGGAACGCGATCGGTATCGGGGAGAATGATGCAAAATCGCTGCTCAAGTGAGGGCTTCAGCTCCGTCGGGCACCCCTGCTGTAGCCGTTTTGGGACCCTCTTTGGGCCCTGTGAGGTTGTCCTGGGGCCAGGTGGAACCTCTGATTGGAACTCATTCCGCGCAGGCTGCGCCCTCGAGGGCTCCGGACGCAGAAACCATGTGAAAACACAGGAAAATGATGCACAATCGCTGCTCAAGTGAGGGCTTCAGCTCCGTCGGGCACCCCTGCTGGAGCCGTTTTGGGACCCTCTTGGAGCGCTCTGGGATTGCCCTTGGGCCTATTGGAACCATATGCAGAACAGCTTTGGGCCTCTTTCAGCAGCCCCTGCGGCCTCTGGAGCCCGGGACGCGGAAACCTTGTAAAAACACAAGGAAAATGAGCCCCGGTACCCCCATGGAGGGTCGGGGCGCCTTTTTTTCGGGGCCCGGGCCTGCTCCCCCGGGATATATATATATATATATATGTGTGTGTGTGTGTGTGTGTGTGTGTATGTCTGTATATATGTCTGTATGTGTATAATTATGAGTACACATACACATGGGAGTTAGCCTTGTTATATGCAAATATATCTATAATCGCATGTATACATGCACACGCATACATACATACTCGCATACGTACATACATACCTGCATACATACGTACGCAACTACATACATACAACCATACATACACACAGGCACCCACAGATAATACTGACAGACAGACAGACAGTCATTCGTACAGGCATACATACATACATACATACAATGTGCGATGTATACCAGCAGTAGCACACACACACAATCGAATGAACAAACATAGCATCATCGCCAAATCATATATTGTACAATTGACGCCGTGCGTCAACATACGGGATACGACCGACTGCTCCTTTACAACTACATCGCTGTATTATACGTCATCCGACGGCATCTCCAGCCACCTATTGCGAAACAAGACAAAACAAAATTCAAGGCCTCTCCCCGCGAACAACAAACACAACACGAGTGCCAGCTTGTCCAGCCACTCTCTGGACCGCGGCACGGGCCCCCTCACGCCTGTCAAATAACAACATGCGCGCGAGCTCGCTGGCCTCAAGCCAATGACTCAAGCACACACGCGCGAGCGAACATGTTGAACCCATAAGAAAACACATGAGTTCTGCTAGCGCGGCAACACATAACCTGCGAAAACACTCATGCTTCCGAATCCCAAACTCTTGCAGTTCCCCTGCCCCGCGAACTTGCTGGCATTACGTAGCGGGGGCAACGAATTTAGAAACCCTGTGCAACACGCGCGTCCAGCATGTGCCAAATGCGCAGGCCCGTATCATACATTGCCACGAGAGCCACGCAAACGCGACGCACCGAGGCGAATCGAAACCGTTCCCAGACCGTTGGTGTTCGGATGCCCCCGAAGTCGAACTCTTTGGAGACGTGTGACAAACAACGCGTGGTTTCGACAAATGTGTGCCAGGTTGCTTGTACTTCTCCCAACGCGCGCACTTTTCAAATACCACCCCCATCAACGCCGCCGCATCCCCGCCGCATCGTCGTCGCCAGTGGCCGCCACTGCGGCCGCCATCGCTCGATCGCCACCAACGCATGGACGTCATTATCACCATCGTCGTCGCCAGCATCGGCGCCGTCATTGGCTTCGACGTCGCCATCGCCATCGTCGCCACCACTATCGTTACTATCACCATCCTTGCTGCTTTATTATCAACATCATCACCGCGCCCGCCCGCGCCAATGCTGACTTTGAGGCGCGCTGGGAAATTCCCGTCGGCATGCGCCATCGCGGACTCGTCGGTTGCGCTGAAATTGCTGGCCCCTCTGTGCGTGAGCTCGCGCGCGCTAGCGCAGCCGAGGAGCTGCGCCAACCAGTGCCGCATACATAGCTCGGGGTAGCATCACAAATTTTACCGGCGAAAAAAAACGATTTCGCACCCGGCATGAGAGACCGAAGGTCCCTGGGCGCCGGCCACCCGAGGAATGGCCCGACAGCACAAATATTATGAAGAGTAAGAGAAGGGCGTCCAAGAAGACGCGATCGACCACACGGCTGCCTAAAGCTCCGCCGCGGCAAAAGTGACCGCGCCACCAGCGCAAAGAGGTGAGCAGACGTGCATCGGCACTAGCTCGGAGAAACATCGATCGCCGTCCAGCGACGCCATCGCCGACGCCGTCGTCGCCCGTCGTTTTCCCAGCGCCTCAATCGCGCCCCCAAGAGGGCCCCAAGGTCACAAACCGCGCAATCACAGCTCCAAGGGGGCATCAAGTTTTGGCCCGACCGAATTTCTTCTGGAGAGCTCGGCAGGGTTATCGCGCCATGCACCAAGCGCTGCGTGGGCACGATCGATGGCGCACAGAAGACCCTTGGCATTAGCTACACGCTGGGCCACTGCAGTCGGTTCCCAATGAGAACCTGCACTTTGCGCGCTGGGAGCCAAGGGCATCGCGAGCGGGAACGGCGCTCAAGTGGGTTACGCTGGGACGACCTAGAGGAAGAGGAGGACGAGGAAGAGGAGGAGGAAGTGAAGAAGAAATGCACGTGGAACTAAAACAGGACGCGCATAGCACGATCGCGTTGGCAAGTTTGCGCGGCAGCCTCGGCTGCAGCCGCGCTACCAAGAAATGTCATCTCTGTGCCCCAGAACTGGTTCACAACCACGGCCGAGAACAAGTGTGCGCCAAACGCCCACGGTGCGGCCAATGCCGCGCCGCTGGCCCCCCAGGCGTCTCATGCTGGCGCACAACAACAATATGATGCAACAGTGACGAACATGTGACAACCCCAGACGTTGCAAGGAGGGGAGTGGCGAGTTCGCGTTGCCATTGAATCGTCCTCATCGCCGCCGTATTCGGCAAACGCCCCTACACACCGAAGGCCATGCGCACTGACGGTCCTGCTCGCATGATGACCCATCAGCTGCTTCTACCACAATGGCCGTCGTCATTGCAGCCTGAGAACGGGCCCTGGTCGCGGTTGCACTACACTTGCGCGTCAATGGTGGCGCACATGCATGCTCCACACTCATCCCTGGGGCCACCCCAAAGAAAGCAATTGAAAATGCGCGCGGCACTGAGGCCAACGCACTCCAGGGCCTGAAGACTCAGGTTCATTTTTTTGAATCGTCATCGAACACGCTGCGGGCATTCGGGGTAATTGTCGTGCCAAACGGGGGAACATGCAGTGGCTTCGCCTCGAAGTGCGTCTGCTTCGCGACGGCTGTCAGCGTGGCACTGTTCTACAGCAGCCCAGTCTCGCCCTGCTCATCCAGGGCGCGCGCTTGTCCTGCCAGGCCGGCGCCCCTCGATTCACATGCCAGCACCGGCGCGGACCACGGAGTGGCGAGGCGGAGCGCCTTGTCAGGGCACGCGATAAATATGCTGTTCTGGCATGCGCGAGGCGCCTGCACTTTAAACTGCTTGAACCAAATGCCTTCAGCGAAAATGGATGCGAAAGGGCCTCGCGGTGGCATTGTGCGCTGCGCGCCCGCATGGCTTGCACCGCGTGTACTTTACCACGTGGGCTGCACGCCGTAGTTTACACAACCTGGATTGTGCAACACATCTCACACCTCCACGACATAGCTTACACCAGCTTGCATCACATATCTTGCACCACCTAGCTTTCATCGCGCAGCGTGCAACTCATGAAGTGCACCGCGTAACTTGCACCACGTAGCCTGCGCAGCGATGGCGTCTGCAACCGCAATATGGCAGCCGGGGCAGGAAAAGACGATCCTCGGGGCGAGCGCGGCCGGCGCTGGGGCAGCGGCGGAGGGGCGGATGACCTACGAGGCCGCTTGGGAGGAGGGGGGGGAGGCCCCAGAGGCTCGAGAAGCGAGGGAGGGCGAGGAGGCGCTGGGCAGGCTCGGCTCGGGGGGCTCAGAGGGCCTATGCTTATCAGCCTGGGCCAGTGCTCGGGCGCGTGCCATCGGCGAAGCTGTCCGGATCTCAGCGCGGGAACACGACTGAGTAGCACTCCTAGGTGAGCGGCGTGGGCATCTCACGCCCTGATCAACTGACGTCGGCGCACTTGTGGATGCAAGGGGCGGGCAGTCCAGCCCCTGAACAACTGCGGTAGAAGTAGGCGCACTCTGCGATGCAAGATGGCCCCCCGCGCCCTGGACTGACGGCGCAGAAGTAGGCTGGCTCCGCGATGCACGTCGTGGGCCCCCCATGCACCGAGAGGAAATGCCTCCCGAAGGTCGGCGCCCTCAGCCCCCAGAGGCCCTCGACGCGAGCAAAAGGAGCGGCGCGCCCGAAAGCTTGCGAGAGGGCAGAGGAGTTGAGCGATCCGTGCCAAGGGGTGACTCTGCTGAAGTAGGCGCACTCTGCGACGCGCGCGGCCTGCTACCCACGCCCTGGCCAAATAATGATGTAGGCGCACTCTGCGATGCAAAAGGTGGGCTTCCCATGCCCTGAACACCTGGCGAAGAAATAAGCGCGCTCGGAGATGAATGCGCCGTGCTTCCCATGCCCGGAACCACTGGCGCAGAAGTTGGCGCGCCCCCTGATGCAGACGAGAAGCCCCCATTGCCCATCGCTGCCGTATTCCGTGGGGTACAGGGGCACCTTTGCGCATAACTATGCATTACCCAGTGATAAGCGAAGAAGTCTACCCCATGAGTGCGCCCTCTAACTGCGTCAGCTTCGCGTGGAGGATCCTCTCCACGGTGGTGCACTATCGGTCCCTGACCTGGCTTGTGGCTCGCTCCCGTCTGGATGAGTGATTCGCGAATCACGCTGAGGTCGACGTCGCTCCAGGGGTTGAGGCTGATCTGGAACTTGCACTGCGCTGCGTCGTGAGTGTCGCTGGCCTTCGCGAGCGGGGCGAGCTCGACGATCTGCTTGATGTCCATAACTTTGAGGTTGTCGCCGGGCGCCGTCAGGTTCTGCTGGCAGAGACCGCCGACGGACGCGCCTTCCTGATGAAGACCTCCGAGCAGACCTGCGAAGTCCGCGGTGCTGATCGTTCCGATCTTCGCCACCTCTATGTCGATCTGCGGTGCCGCCATCGAGCTGTGAATCCCTTTGTTTTCTGACCCGCGCCCGAGCTCGGGTTTGGATCGCCACGACGCCTTTGGAGCCGGGGGAACTAGGTAAGTCTTGATCAAGACGGCATCGGTCTGTCGGTGCCTCATCGCCACGTTGAGCAGCAGTTTCAGGCCTATGGGGAACATGCACTGGATGTCTTGCCATGCCCATCATCATCCGCTCCAGTGCGAATGAGTCCAGGTCCGCAAACTTGGACTTCGACCCGCTCTGTTGGCAGCCGCGCTCTCTAAGCTGGCGGCGGAGGGGATTGCGAGCAAGCTGCTCCGGTTCTGCCGCCGGCGCGCCTGCGGGCACTCCGGCGCTGGGCAGTGAGTTCACCCGCGACATGGGGGCGAGGTACTCGGGGGTGATCAGCAGCAACGCGGGCTTGCAACCCGCCAAGCGCGGCGAAGGTGAGCTCGCAGTCGTCGCGCGGGCAACGCAGCTGCGGCGGATCGCTCACGCCGAAGTTGCAAAGAGAGCGGTGTTGTTGGCATCGTCCAGAACGATCAGCAGCAGTAGATGGTTTATCGCAGTCTGTCGGCTCGCGAACGCCAATCGGCAATTCAAGCATTGGCGCGTAATCGTGAGTCGCGTGCGTTCGCAAACTCATCCGCGCTCGCCCCCCCCCCCTGCTCGGAGCGCTTGTTTTGTTTCGGCCGCGAACGAGCATGACGCGCCATCATCGCACAGGAGGCCGCGCGAATGAGGGCTTTCCCAGGAGGCTGTTACGTCTGAACCACTGCGCGGTGGAGCGGGCTGTTCCAGCCACCACTGTCGCGCGCGCGCAGTCGTGAGCTTAGTGGAAACATCTCGACCTGGCGTCGGGCGAAGAATGACGAACAAATCGTCTCCGATAACGTCGAGGCATGCGCGTCCGTCAGCAAATGCCTGCAACAACTTCATATCATCACAGAAGTGCCTGCGCCACGGGATGGTCATGCGAGCAGGGCCTCCACCATCTGAGCGCGCAGGGGCCCAAGCGAAGTCCATCGTCACATTTGTCTTGCTGAGTAGCTTTTCAAATGCACAGGCTAGCAGTTGCGCGCGATGTGCAGGTTCGCTTGCATCGCGTTGCCACCGCTTAATACGTCAGATCTGCATGCCCAGGAAGGGCGGTGCCATCTTCAAATTCCTCCAAGATACATGTGATGAGACATTGCGAACAACTTTGCTCGTGCCAGACAGGTCGTCGCCATCGGCGGGCTGATGGATGCATGCGGTGCCTTGAAGGAATGCTCGTGCATATCGTGCCACGCGCGCGTCTATCTGCTCGTTCTGGGCCCACGTCAGAACACGCGCTCCGAGTCCGGAGGTAGCCGCTGGTAACACTTGCCCTCTGACAACTATTTTACGCCGTCCAAGATATCTGCAGTTATTCCAGAAACGCCCCATTCTGCGCCAGCTACGCGCAGCGGTAATGGCCCGCGCCTTGACCTCGACGTGGTTGCGACCGCTGGCCTGCATGATGGGGCCTAAGGACTTCGCCGTCGACAGGTACCTTGCGGCAGCGTGGGGCTCGTGAGTATACGTGGGCGCCAGTGCCAACAAACGTCGGTAGTACAGCTGTGTTCCCCGCAGTCTGTTGCAGACCAATCGTGCTCAGCTTGTCGTTCAGGACTGGTCGGTGTGCTGTACTTTGTAGGCCGCCGCCTGCGCATCGTGGCAGATGTGAGTCTTGGCAAGGTTGTCGGCATACTTGCGAAAGCTTAGATCGACGTTGGTCCCAGTGAACTCGCACCCCGCAATCATCGAGGTGCTCGTATCAGTGGCAAGTGCGGCATTCCAAGCAGTAGTGGGCGGTATGAATGACTCGCGGGACATCATCGCAGCGTCGGCGTTTCCCATGAAGCAGCCCACAGGTGTTCTGGTAGCCCTGAGCGCCAATCCCCTCGCTGATCACACACGCTGCTCTACGATGTCCGCCTTTCATGGTCGCGCGATCGCCAGGGAGGTATAGGTTGTCCACTGCGGCGCCGAGCTAGGAATGATCCACTGGTGCGGAACTTTCGTAATGTCACGCGTCATGGTGATGTGGCCCCGCTGCTGCTTGGTGAGTCGCCACTGCAGTGCCAACCCTACTGCGACAGCAACCTATCGCGAGCGCGCCCCCGTGCAGCCGTGCTCTGCGTCGCCCAGCGGCGTAGATGCAAGCAATTGTCCCGACGCAGCCCGTGTCTTTGCAAACGTGCATAGTGTGTGAAAGCCGAGTGCCTCGAGCACGCGGTTTGTCACTCATCTTGCTAACTTGATGGGTGGGATAGATTCCACCATGCAGTGAGCCAATGATGCCGGCGAGCTGCAGCAAGTTAAACGATAATCACGTCGCCGAGTAGGGGCCCATGAATATCGTCGCGCGGTCGAACTCTCGGCAGCCGTCTTTTCTCCGATCTTCACTTCTGCCCACGAGCAAAGAGATTGCACATATCTGAAGGTAGAGACCATTCAGGAGCAGCTCGTTGGCGCTTGCAATGCGTCCGCAACCTGCGCTTGATCGCGTCGGAATCGCATTTGGCGCGTCTCCACTGATGCGTAGTAGGGCAGGAACGTTCGTCGATCACAGCAGCGGTTTCGATAAAATGGGCGACATCAGTAGGGGATGCCCTCATTCCGCCATCAGCGCCGGGAAGTGCCACATCTTCGGTCCAGGCCTGAACGGAGGGTCGAGCGTCGGGTAGATCGAAGTAGCATCTTTTACCAAGAACCTTATCGTTACCAGCATGGCGCCAGCAAGCTCGCCAAAGCTCTGCTGCCAGCCCTGCTTCGTCAGCCTGTTGGATTTTGCGAAAAGGCCGCTCATCTCGAAGGTCGCGCAATCGCCGTCGGAATGGTTTTGCAAGCAGCGCTGCAAGGTCGGAAGACAAACGTGCTCTCAAAGTCGACCGCGGGATTCTGCCGAGCGAGCGTTCGTTCATGAAGGGCGTGTCGGCGCTGCTGTGCAAACTGCTGGCGCTCTAAGTCGATCGGGGACTTGCTCGCTTCAAATGTTTCAAGAGCTCGCGATCGCATCGTTGACAATCAGTGTTGTCATCCAGATTTCATCGCACGCCTTTCTGCCCAGTCCGCCATGTCACGGTGGCCGGTCTCTATGAGGTAGTTAGCCAGGTCCATCTCTATGTCATCGAGGAGCTGCTTTGCCCTGTCGAAGAACCTTTCGTCATTCCAGGCGAAGAATATGCGAGTGTAGCCCCGCTGCGGCCTCCTGGGGCCCGTCGAATGCAGGGGCGCACTCCACGCCCAAATAAGGCATCATGCGGTCCAGGAAGCGTTGCGATGGGAATGCTCGGAGTCATCAGGCCAAACGGTAGGCGATGTCACGGCGCCGCGTTCCCGGTAGATGGCGCATCGGCATCGCGAGGTCATCGATGCAGCTAGTGTTTCCGCGAAGCCCATGGCAAATCGGGCCGCGCGGGGGGCGCGCGCTCGTCGCGCGCAGGGCGTAGGTCCTTCGTGCCTGCGTGAAAAGCTTCTCCAGCGCAGTGCTGCTGCCCGTACTCGTGCGTACCTATGGTGGCGTCGTCGTCCTCTGTAGTGCTGGCGCGCTCGAGGCCGTCGACCAGGTCTGCGCCGATGAACGCGCAAGTTCGGTTCGGCAAGTTCGAGAAGATGCCCTGCAAGTAGCTGATCATCTTGCCCATGAGAGCTTCGTTCCTGGATGCGGTGGCGAGGCGCTGCGATCCCGGAGGGAAGTAGGCTGTTATAAAAAGTGAAGTCGAACTGCGAGCTCTTCACGCTTGCAGCGCCTAGACGGCCGCGAAGCGCGGGTGGGGGCTGCCATATATTGACGATGTGTGTTTTCCGAAGCCAGCGGCGGCGCAGCTAGATCTCCGCACCGCGCCATGTTTTGCCCGTCGTGTTCTTGCTACTGCGATGCCAGCCAAACTTCCGCATGAGAAACTCTGCCGATGAGTGTGTCTCGAATGGGGGTCGTGGTCATTGTCTGAGTTCCTGAAAGGATTACTTCATCAATGTGCTCCAGCTCACGAAAGAGATCCCAAGGCGCTTGCCGTAATCCTGCAGAGACAGAAGACTCCATGCTATGAGACGCATGTAGACCGTCAGTGTGTGACAGAGAAACCCGATTTTCGAGACGCTGGGCATGTCGCCCACGCTCTGGAGATCTTTCAAAAGCTCGAGCCAGAGCTGCACCTCTATATATATATATATATATATACGTATGAATGCGATAGCCACCACCATGAATCATATTGCACGGACGCCGCAAACTTGATTTTTCTGGAACACGCGCGCCAGAGAATTCGATGCGCAAGAATTCCCAATTGCATGTATTAGACCGGCCGTTTACAAACAATTGCATATGCAAGGCGCCGTGGCAAGACAATGGGACCTCTTATATACATGTAGCGTTCCAACAAAAGCATGTATGTTCAAGGACCGGAATAATGTTGCAGTCCGCCACAAGCATCAACTAAGACGTACGGCTCCACTGGAAGGGCGCGATCTGAGGGCTTGAGCGGAACTTACGAGGGATCAGCAATAACATCCATGATGCCAGAGGAAAGCAGAACTCTCATCTGGTCTTACGGGGGGATCGACAACAAACACTAACATACTAACGGCCAGGGGGAAGTCCGAGTTTGCTCATACCCCCGGCTGTAGGACATGTGCACCGCTGTCTATTTGAGGATTGCTATGTTCCTGCCGGAGTAATGGTTTCAAGTCGCCTTGTTATTTGCAGTGGCCTTTTTTAACACGGAAATGCGCGCTAGCACACAGCCTTACAATGATAAGCCGCCACGCAAGAATTCCTTCGATAAGGCCGCCACCAACAAATACATGTGCAAAGCCGCACCACGGGGAATCCTGTAGTAGTTCGCGCTGCAGAAGCTGCAGCGCAGGAGAAAAGGAGGTGGAAGAGAAGAGGCCGAGGGGGGGAAAGAGAGAGAGAGAGAGAGAATGAGAGAGAGACACAGAGAGACAGAGACAGAGAGTAATGAAGACGAGGGAAGGAAAAAAGGGGCGGGGAAGGAAATTGAGACAAAGCTCGGCGCAGACTTACCAACACGTGCTGCACAATATCTGTTCCAGGCCGCTGAGATACGGTTTCCCTCCCCCGCCCCCCCCTGGCGCGCGCACCCCCCAGTGTTCGGGCCAGTGGTAGTGGACGGGTGACCTCAGGGGGGGGGGGAGGCAAAGGGCCCTGAAAGGGCCGTTGAGGGCCCCGGTTGGGGCCAGATGGTGCCCAAAAGGGACCCTAAAGGGTCCCTTCTTCACCCTTCGCAGCAAATTTGGGTCACCCTCTGTTGCCAGCCGCCCAAAGTGCGCGCCGCAGGAGCTTTTTTTTAAAAAGAAAATCTGGCAACTTTGTTCGCATGGCGTTCGCCCCCCTCCGCCTCGCCCCTTTTCGAACGAAAACTGGCGTGCCCGTGCCTCTCGCCTTGCGCGATCTCCGCGCATGCAGTTCGTTTGCGGTTTACTTCAGGTTCAGCCCCCCCCGCCCATGCAAGCGACCTTGCTGGATTATTTGTGTTCTTAATATTTGAAAAATGAAAACAGGCCGTCCCACACCTGGCCGCCGGGGGACGACGACGCGACGACGACGGTGACGGTGACGGCAACGGCGACGGCGACGGCGACGACGATGACGCCGACGGCACAGGGGCGGGACTGCCTGTCCCGGGGTTCTTCTGACCAGGGTCAATCCAAACCCGGGTCAGTCAGGCCTTGCCACATCCTGCAAGATCCGGCGCCCAAACCCGGGTCGATGCGAAGGATCCTGCAAGATCCTGCAGGGTCCCGCGCCCCAAGCCCGGGCCAATGCGACCCCGGAGCTGCAGGATCCTGCGCCCGATCCGGCGCGCTGGCCGACCTCCGCTTTGCCCGGACCCCCCCCAGCAAGACTCCCCGAACCCTCCAGGGGACCCGGAGCCCCCCCGGCGCGGAGGGCGGCGGGGCCCGCGGCGGCCTGCATGGTCCCCGCGAGGAACCCCGCGGAGCCGCTGCGCACCGCCTTCCTGCGGAGGGGCGCCGCGGCGGGCGGGCGGGGAGGCGCCGGGAGAGAAAGGGGGTGGTGCCAGCAGAGGGCGGCAGTGCAGGGGGCCACGAGCACACAGATAAAGGCATACACAGATCCCAGGAGACCCTATCTTTTCACATGTTTTCTGGGTCTCTGTCTTCCCCCCCACACTTCCCATCTTTTCGCATGTTTTCCTGGGGATCGACGATTCATCGTGTCTGTGATTTTTGTTTCCCCCTCCTGGGGCAGGAGGGGCAGGAGGACAGGACTCGGCGGCGAGAGGGTGGGGGAACGAGAAGGAGAAGGCCTTCATGAAGGCGGCGGGGCTTCTCAGGAGGGGGCCCTGGGGCACGCAAAGAAATACACACAAATAACAGGATTCACAATATTTTCCCATATTTGTTGGGTTTTCGTCTCCCATCCCACTTCCTATATTTTCCCATATTTTCTCGGGAATCGACGATTAATTGTGTCTGTGTGTGATTTCCCTCCTGATATCAGGAGCCCTCGCGCCTTCTGAGGAGGTGTTCTGGTGTCTTCTCGGAAGAAGGCTCAGAAGGCTTCTCGGAAGGCCGGGGGACGTCCGAGCCTTCTGAAAAGGCCTTCTTCCTTTCACTTCTCCCCCAAGCTCGCCGCCGAGCAAGGGGGTGGGGTGCAGGCAATGAGGGTAGGACGGGAATGATGTCATGATAGGGTTGGCTCAGGATACGTTTCAGGATTCCCAGGAGTATCTGGCGGCCCTCTTCTGCGGCCGGTGGAACTTCATGGAATCTTCGCGAATCTGGGGAATCCTGGAGCGCATCATAATCATGACCTCGTGCTCCTCTGAAAGGAGGGAGCACTCCAAGCTATTACATCTCGGGGCGTGGAG